CCAAATGAGACAGAGTGTAGTAAAAAAATAGTTAGAGTAAAGAAACACAATTAACAACTATCAAATAGCAAAAATTAACGATATCAATAATAATAAAAATTAGAGATAACGATAACTGATAATAAACAATTCAAGAAAGTAAAAAAGATAAAAAACGACAATTTATCTTACTTCATGAAGATTGGTATTGATATGGCCAAGCATCAACTGATCACCATTGTCTCGTACACCACTTTGACGATTTTTCCGATCGCAAAATTCGGCCAATTCAGGGACTGACTTGACTTCCAGGACTAAATAAGGGAGAAAATAAAGCAATTCCGAACAGCGAGCTTAAAAATTCTGATGGTTGGAAGCTTGGAAACCAACCAATTTTGTCTCCAGCGCTACGTACAGCGTTTTGCAATTCTTCTCGGGACATAGAATCTACACTGCGGCCATCTATTTTCACCAGTTGGTCGCCTGGTAGTAAACCATTCCTGGAAGCAAAATCAATGTTTTCCTTCCAAAAATTCAAGGATTTACCAAGAAATATATTATAGAAAGGTCCCGTGAAACAGAAAAAAAAGTCAAAGCCTCACTTGAGATCATCAGGACGTGGTGGACCCGCTCGTATATCAGATGGCTCAGCAAAAACCACAGTACGTAAACCTCCTTTCCTACTTGATGGGAATTGAACCCGGCGTATGGAAAAGCCAAAATCGCCTAAAAATCAACAAAATAATAATCAAAACCACATGCATGAGTACATGACCAACCTGTAACGCTTTTTTGCAGGGTCAAAGTTCTGACTTTCACTTGGACAACAGCAAGAGCGGGTAGTGCAAGCCCCTACAAAATTAGCGACAATCGATAAAAGGTTGAGTAGAGAAAAAATTTCATTGAAAATATGGAAGAGCAAAATCAAGCATAAAGATTCCTAACCTGTATATTAAAATCCTTTGGTGATCCGAATCCTCGTACAGGTGGTAGAGCCATATCATCGGAATCCTTCGAGGAGCCTGAAATTTTTTTCACTTTTTATCCATCTAAGACAAAAAATGAAATTAGATAAAATATAACAAACCTAAACTGAATTTTCCCATGACAAATACGCAATTTACTCAAACTTAGAAACCAGTTTTTGTTTGTTTACTGAAGTTATACATCATTATAGGAACGATTAGTCATATCAGGCGAGAAAATTGGGAATTAAAAAAAGGAATATAAAGCCAAATAAGCAAAAGGAAACAAGATAACATAAAGCTGGCAACACACGACTCAAAATTCCCCTAGTAGCAAAAGGCAAGCTTTTTGCCTAGGCTGATGAGAACTAAATCTAGCACTTCCTAAGCAACATCGGCTTATCGTTTTTGTGCTGGCACTAGCTGCAGATCGTATAAAAAAGGCAATGAAGCGCTCTTATCTATTGCAAGATGTATCACCGTGATAAGACGTTGATGGCAGCTCTTTTTATAGCTCCACTTATGCTAAGTATGTTCTCTTTTCTCGTTGATTAATTCGGTCAAAACCCCTATAAATAAAAATGTGCTAAGAACTCAGCTTTTTTTCAAAAACTGCATAGTTAATAAAGGATGAAACGGGATATTGGAATTAGGAGATATCTCAAGCGCCTACAAAATTGAAAGCAACGAGTTAAGAATTAAAGTTGCTCATACTAACTCTAGTTCAATTCTTCTATGAACAAAGATTGCGCTTTCGATATTGCACGAGATCTGTGCTTTAGATAATGAGCGAACAAAAAATGTTCACACTAGCAAAGTCAACAAACAAAAAGCAGAGGGATTGACTGCTTCCAGACAAACCGAAAAGACTTCTCTCAAATCTATTAGATTGGTCCAAAAATTCTCACGCAATATTCGAAAAATCACAACTTCTCCGTCTCTTCATTGATTAACTCGTAGAATAATCTGATCGAAAGCACAAATCAAGCTCTTTACAGCAGTTTGCCTCTGGCGACGCAATGTGAGAAACATCGAGTGACAGAAGCAATTGAACGACATTACGAATGGCATTTCTCAATCAGGGTTACAGAAAATTCTGGATGTACTTTTTTGATAGAGAAAATCCATGAATTAAAACGAGTTAGATCGATAGTTAGAAGCAATTGAAGAGAATAGCTGCAGTTTTGCAGTTTTTGAGCATGCTCTAAAAGGTCCAAAATATCGTTCGCTCATAGTTCATGGAAAAGGCAATGCAATAATGCGCATAATTTTCTCTATCAAACAAAAATACTTCCAGAAACCTTCCTGTAACCCTGCTGAAAAATGCCGAATATGAGTAATTTCGTTCAGTTTCCTCTATCTCTC